ATTATGGTTGGAGCTAAGGGCATACACTGTCTAACAGTAGGTTCATCCGCAAATCTCTAAGCTGGTAAATAATCCCTAAAACCTTACTAATAAACTCTCTAGTACTTATAGGTTGCTCAAATTTTGCAACAAAAAGTTGGGAAAGCAAATTTGTGATCATGGCCTTTGTGGAGCCTACAAACTGACTTTTGATAGTGTTAAGAGTTCGCTTAGCAATATTAGATATGGGAATGCCAAGTTTCAATGACTTAGAAATCTGACTTTGAATGTAAAGAGAGCCATTTTATTGGTCTACTACCAATTGTTATATGTAGTGTGAGTTTGGCTACTCGTATTTGCTAGAGGTTGTAGAGGTTCAGGTTGTATGAGGTAGATGTCATATCCATAGGCCCCTAAGATGGTGTCAATCCAACTTCTCCATTTCTTTTAATTTGTTCCAGGGAAAATTCAATGGAGAATGATTGAAATTGAGCAAAAAGGTTTTGAGTGTTCAAGGTTGCCATGCAAAAATACTAAATTTAATTACACATTGGGAGCTAAATGAACAAACTATAAATCATGCATCCAAACAATCAAGCATAATTATCAAATGACAAAGTTATATATGGTCTCATCCTCTCTCTTTTGGGTTTAAGAATGATTCTATAATAATAACCAAGTGAATTTAATCACACAGCAAGGCAAACTGCACATGTGCCTGTCAAACTGGTCCCATAAAGTGTTATGATATGTTATGGATCGGTTTGGTTCAGTTTAACCCATTCAGACCACGTTCGAACCACTTAGTTCGCATGGAACCGATTAGACACGATGCCAAGGCGAATAGGTGTTAGACAGTTTTGTATGCCCTTAGCTTCAATCCGACTTGATGCACTTTTGTTATTTAGTGGAAATAAATAAAGTGCATGTTTGATTCATGTTGTTTGGTTTAATTCTGTGTAAGACCCTAAAACTGGACACTTATAGAGACTCGTGTTAGTTTTAAATGTTCACAGCCATTGGATAAGTCTAGGGAGATTTATCCTGCCAAGGC